ATCTGGATAGTTATAATTTTTGGATAGTATAATTTTAAGAGTGGTGATAATTAGAGGTAGACGAGGGGTGTGTTAAGAGCAAGCCAAAAATGTGAGATAATTATATGTGATATAATGATAAGACATTGTAAAAAACTTTGTAAGTTGTGCAATAAAAACCTGATTATATATATATATAGTAATGCATCTGAAGAATTTGAAGAAAAATTTGCTTTTCAGATCGACCCTCCTTCCTCATCTCTGATCCGGCGACATCAGAGACACGAGACTATTTTTGCGAAATTTCTACCCCCCGTTTTTTCGAAAACGGTTAAATATCTAATTTTTTAAAAAAAGTACAACGACTATTCTCATGGACTACTACAAATATGCAAAGTTTGAAAAAAATTCGAGAGGGGTCGATCTGACGGTCCCCTTATTAGGGTTTACTCTCGAATTGATGGATTTTTTATATAGTGACTGAACTATAATTATCTTTTAACATCACGTTTAAATCAAGATACTTTAGAAACGAGTATGCTGAGTTTTTATGATTAACAGTTTCGATGTGAAAAATGTAATAATATCATAATTTTTTATTATTGACTATGTACCACAAATGAACACAAAAAATAAGTAATGTCTAATTAGTTTTTACATAGAAAAAGCTATAATAAAATAATTTTACTATATTATAAAATTTATTATAATATTCAAGAATATTATATATAATTAATATATTATATAATGACTTTCCAATTAAGGAAATTCTATTTATTACGAATATTATACCCATTACACGCATGTGCAATGTACGGAAAGTCCCGTATAATCAATATTTAATAAAAGAACTTTCATAGAGGACAACGTGCCAATCTAAAGAAGAATTTCGAGGAGGACGGTACATAGATTATATTCTCCGATGTTTTAGACAACAATAGACACTTCTATCGATTAATTAATAATTATTTCAATACTATAATTCACTCTACTTATATCTTAGATTTTTTAAACACACATGCATTGGTTTAAACATTACATAACGATTAACGTACTTTGAATATTAAATAATTTCGATCTGATGTTTTATTAGATGAAAATTTTACCCCACCTCCTCGAAGTCATCACTGCGCAAGAACATTAAAACAAGTGTACCTTTGTTGAAAGAATTACATAAAAATGATAAAAATACTAAAATCAGAACGCTATAATCTTAAATTTTATTTATTAGGTGCATTATTCTCTTATGAAGCCAGACATAGTCGATAACAGTGAAGATGATAATTCGGTATCATCATTTGAAAGTAAAAAATTAAATTTTTCCGAACTAGAAAAAGCAAAGTTATTATCTTGCGTGAAAGCTATAAGAAATATTATAGGAAATTCCATAGTTGAATCTAAACTTGAAGAAGAAATCATCTGTTTAGAGTTTAACTTTGAAGTTGCACTGGACAAACTTTTAAATATAACATCAAAGTATTAATCTCGAGCCTCAGGAATTCCACAGTTTCTTTGTTTTGTAATTTCAAAAAATACCTTTGTATCTTCGATCTATGTTGTAAAATGTGAATTCTTGTAAAAAAAGGATTGTCTTGTAGTGGCAACGTTTCCTTTTTATATCATTTTGCAATCGTGTACGAGTAGCTAAACTGATCGGACATATTTGTTTGTTTATTTTCGATCGCGAATGCCGCTACGAATACGTTATTTTTAATTTACATTTCTCTGACCAAACAGCAGAGCCGTTAAAATAGGAAGACCTATTGCGACTTTGACTTTTTTTTGTTAGTTAATAAGAAAACAACTCCAATGACAACTTTTTCCACCTCTTCGAAGCAGAGTGTATCCACAGAAAAATATACAATAAAAAACTGAAGTAACTGACTTAGGAAATGATACATACTCTGTTCCAAATGAAACAGCTTACTAGCTACTCATTCTGACCCAGCAGTAGCAATGACCTTGTTAAAAGAGCACGTAACAAAAATAGAAAAATAGCTTGCAGAAAAAAGGATAAAAGCAAATCCAACCACATCACTTTTACACTGTGTAAAAAAGACTCACCGGATATTAAACTAACATAGTTAATTAGAATAACATAGTTATTTCACAAATAAAACAGATAAAATACTTAGGATTACACTTAGACTCAAGACTCACATGGAAGTATCATATTAAAGCAATTATAGAAAACATACTAATTAAGAGAAGGCAGATGTACTGGCTAACTAGCTGGAAATCTAAGATCAGTATAGAAAACAAATTAAAGGTTTATAAAACTATTATAAAATCTATATGGACTCACATGAAATACCTCTAAGGGAACAATGAGTCATATAACAAAGCTAGAATCAATTCAATCAAAAATATTAAAAACCATAGTTGACGCATCATGGTTCATACGGAACGAAGATAAACGAAAGAACTTAGGACTAATGATAGTAATGGACGAAATAAAAAATTTCACAATAAAATATAAAAAGAGAGCCATAGTACACCCCAACTAACTAGCCATAGAGGCGTACATTACTCATATTAGAAAAATACTAACTAAGAAGGAAACATCCAGGGGACATATACATCAAAATTGTAAAAGAAAACGATAACCCCGAAGATAATAAATTACCACTCACAAATTATTTATAAATGAACAAAACAAGAAATTTACGAACAAATTGTAAAGTATAAAATGAATATATTAAAAAGAAAAAAAAAAGAAAGAAAATATGTCAGTTCGAATTTTTTGTCAATTAATAATTTTAATATTTCTCGTTAATTTCATTCTATATATATAACAAGACAATGAGAAAGTATTTTTGTATAAAATTGCCTTTTTTTATTCGTTACAACATCTACCGTTGATAATATTGTAAACAACAATATTAAAATACACACAAGAGAAAATGGATTATGAAAAAGACAGAAAAATATACATATATGCTTTTTTTTGTATCTAACAAAAATTCTGACACAGTCAGAAGGATTTAAATTAGGTAATATTAACTGTTATGTCAAGTAAGATTGAGTCCCGCTTAGACTTTCAATTTTATTTCTATATTTCTTATTTTTGTTATTGTACATTTTTTGTATAATTCGTCATTATTGTATTTTTTTATATAATTTCTTTCTCTTGAATTAAATTGTAAAATATTTATCTTTTCATCTTTTTGAAGTTATTTTAACATAATTTTGTGGAGACTATAATGGAAAATAAAATTCATGTGTATTGTAGAACGTGTTCAGTAGTTTCTTCTATTTGCAAACGTTTTTATTGTTTGAAAAAATCAAAATTATTCATAACGTAAATAACATATAAATAAGTAACATATATATATATTACCTAAATATATGTATTGTTTAAGGTACGTCAAAAGATTAATTTATGTATGTATGTATGTTTATTTGTTACTCGTTGCACTGCCGACAGCTCGTATAAACTGTTGAAACGAATTTTGGAATATAAAAATATAGATAATCTTCGAAGAACACGATTAATTGGTTCCGTGTTGTTCGAAACTACAAAAAACGAGATTCCCCCCGTTTCAAGTATGAAAATAAAAAATTGTAAGTAATGTGTATGTAATGTGTATTTATTTCAATTAAAATGGAATGGAATTGAGAATTCATAGACGTGATTTTTCAAATTTCGTGATAAAAGTTATAATTTCCTAATAATTGTCCCGTATATTGTTTTGTTATTAAACGACTTCTACAACTGTGTAGTTTCAAAATTATCGAGATTTATCTTATTATATTGAACCCTCGTTAGAGAAAAGAATAATAATAATAAAAAAATGTTAATTTTTTTATGCTTTTAAGGGGAGAATTCTAAAAATTAATTAAACACGAAAAATTATGTTTTTTTCTGTCGATGTACTTTTAGTCTTATTTAAATGAATGATAATTTTAGTAAAATTAAAAAATAATGAAAGCAAAAATTTTGAGCCCCCCTACGTTGTGGTGGGGTTTTATGGTTTTGTAGTTCGTCCCTGTTGCAGACTATCGGGATAGCAAACGCGCCACTAAACGACTATCTCGTACTAATGAATTAATAAAAATAGTTCAAATA